GGCAGCGGTGGTGAGGTTGGCCCAGGATCGAACATTGTTTTGTTCTGCTGTGCATGGAGTCGCTATGAGTCGGTTCCGACTCGATGGCACCTGACAACAACAACAACAACATAAGATGAAAGAGAACTTGTATTGGTCATTTACTTTTTTCCTTGTTGTACTTTTAATATTAAAATACATTCCAGGCCACCAGCTATAACATCTTTGGCAAAGCCTTCACGCACACACTTTGTAGTGTGCTGGTTTTGTTGTGGCTAGGTATACAGGACAAATGCTTCATGGACTATCATATCAGTTCCGTCTTAGATCTGTATCTCCACATACACTCACAACTCTTCTGTATTATCAGACGGTTTTTAAATATAAACTAGACTCTAGAAACAAGGTAGAAAACAAAAGAAGAAAAGAAAAAAATATCTTCGACCTTATGAATAAACAAAGAAGCATGCATGTAAAAGAGTGAGATTTTCTATTGTTTGTGTCTCGGTCATCAAAAAATGAAAAAATCTGGAAATTCCCTGGAGAGATGGCAGGGGTAGGGATTGGATATCTTGGTATAATTTTCTGGAGGCTATAAAAATGACCGATCATGTGTGTTAGCAGTCTCACTGATGATCTTCAGATCGTCAGAAAAGTGTGCTAAGGATTATGGCGTTCAACCAAGCGCGGCTTAAAACAGATACTGAAAATGCCCAAGTATCCTTTACAGATAATTGTTTATGAGCCTTGGGAATCCTTCTCGGCATCAAGAAGGGCGATGTCATCCACATTCATCGACACAAATGGATTTTTGGTTGTGTGTATATTTTGGCTGAGAGTGTGTGTCTTGTGCGCATGGTGTGTGTGTGTGTTTGGGCGTATGTGTATTTCGGGGCCATTGTTTTACCTGACCATATACATGCTATCTAGAGGGATGTTCATGGAACATAAGCAAGGATTATCTCTGGGCAGTGTGGTCTGAGGGTGATTTTTGCACTCATCTTTATACTAAGAGGTATTTCAGTGTTGATTAATAGGCAACAACTAGCAAACGTAGTGGTGGGTGGGCACATGACGGTGGTCGGCGGTGCACTGTGGTGGTGGTTGAGAGTACGAGGCTGTACCTGAACATGTTGACAGCGTTGGGGTTTTGCAGGTAATCAAGGCTGCGGAAGACAGCGCGTTGCAGTACATGAACTTCATGAATGTGATCTTCGCAGCACAGAAACAGGTGAATTCAGAGCTCTCTTTTTAAAGACTATTTTGTTTCAGAATGAAAGAATTCTTTCCCGTGTTTGGAGGAACAACTTAGAAAGGCAGTTTGTAAGCCTTACTCTGGTGGGTTAGGGATCAGTAGTTCAGAGTTTGTGGGGATTTTAGGGAGCCCTGGGGGCACAGTGCATATGTGCTCAGCTGCCGACCAAAAGATGGGCGATTGGGGCTTGAACCCTCCAGCTGCTCCGTGGGAGAAAGGTGGCGGTCTGCTCTGGTAAATCTTGTAGCCTTGGCAACACCGTGGGGCACTTCTCTGCCCTTCAGGGTCACTTTAGGGTCACAGAATCGACTTGACTGAGTTTTACGTATAGCTGTAAAAGGTTCAAACGAACGCTTTTAACCCGTCATTGGTCCTCAGGCTAGGAACCTCTGATGTTAGATTTGCTACGTAAACCTCGCCTCAGTGTCTCTGTTTATTTCAGTAAAAATTTGGTCATTTTACTTTGCAAACAACTGAACCGTTCCAATGTATTATTGCTACCACAATTTCTTCTTTACTATATTAAAAAAATTCTAAAACTTGCTTAAAATGTCAGTGTTGACCTAAAATGCAGTTACAGTGTGCACACTATTTCCAGCTTGAAGGGATAGTGCAGTGTGGTGGGCGGGGCGGGCAGGGGTTTGGGAAGCAGGCAGACAGGCGCTCAGCTCTGCTCCGCTCCACCCAGCTCTGTTTGGGACCATAACTGGGCCAAGTCCTGGCTACTTCAACTGCAGAAAGCCAACGAAATGTCTCCCATGCAGAGTTTGTCCCACTCAGTAGCTCCAGCCTTTTAAGACTGCAGTGTGGTGCACAGTAGGTGTCATTGTAGGGAACTATTCATATGCTTATAACGAATAATTTTAAATGTTCATTTCAGAATATTTTGATTGATGCCTGTGTATTAGAATCTGATTCAGGACTCCTCCAGCAGGTATGTTTGAAAAACAAAATTAGTTTTCGTGATTATTGTTGGGTGCCATCTAGTCGGTTACGACTCACGAGGACCGCAAACATGATAGAACGAAACACTGCCCTTTCCTCCACCATCCTTGTGTTGTGTGTTCGAGCCCCTTGTTGCCGCCGCTGTGTCAGTCCATCTTGTTGGGGATCTTCGTCTTTTTCACTGACCCTCCACTTTACCAAACTGATGTCCTTCTCCAGAGACTAATCCTTCATGCTAACACATCTAAAACATGGGAGATAAACTCTCACTGTCCTAGCTTCTAAGAAGCATTGTAGGTGTATTTTCCCCAACGTAGATTTGTTCTGAAGTCCACCGTATGTTCAGTATATTTGGTAACACTGTAATTCAGAGGTATCAATTGTTTTTTTTTTTTTGTCTTCCATAGTCATTGTCTGCCTTTTGCATGCATATGAGGCAGTTGAAAATACTCTGACTTGAGTCTGGTGCACTTTAGTCCACAAAGTGACATCTTTGGTTTTGAACACTTTAAAGACGTCACTGCAGCGGATCTGTCCATTGCATCCCATCCTTTTCTTTCTGGGCTGATACTGACTGTTGTGTATGGTTCAGTGCCTTTCACTAGTCTTCACACAATTTTGGGGATTCACCTGTGTGTGACTTACAGACTAACGTGCTAACAAATCTGGTCCCTACAAAGTGTTTATTTATCTTTCATGTACTGATATGATCAAGTCTGTCAAAGTGACCTGTATACTAAGCGGTAGTTCTCGTAGGTGGTAACTCTTGTGTTTTCTCAGAGGGGACCTTAGGCTGTTTCTTCCAGTTCCAGCTTTCAAGAGTGTTTCAGGGCAGCCGTCTTGAGAGTCCCCTTACCTTAGCGCTCCAGAAAGTCTGTTTCTCTTGCTACTCCGTTGTGTTCCACCCCTTTCTCCTGTTGGATCAAGACATGTCTGTTGTAGGTCTGATGGGAGTTGTTGGTGGTGGTCGCTGGGCACCATCTACTTCTTCTGGTCTCAAGTTAGAGACATGCTAACATGCCGTGCCTCCTCTCCTTTCCAAAACCTGAGGAATTCCTGGTGAGAATTGCAGCCGCCTGGAGAAGCTCAGTGTCTGCTCATTTGGCAGTGAGCCCTCTGTGTGTCTTGCAGGCTTGTGACATCACCGGGGGACTCTACTTGAAGGTGCTTCAGATACCCTCCCTTCTGCAGTACTTGCTGGTGAGAATGTGGGGGCTGGACCGAATGCCCCTGCCCCCGGGGGGTTAGACTAGATAGGAGAAATAGGGCTGATATGGGTAGTGGGAGGGAAGGACCAAGTGGGAGACTCAGGTAGTCTTTGAACCCTGTAAACCAAATGCAGTGTCGTGCGACTATTTTCACAAGTGTCTGCTTGTGGCGGTGGGTGGTGTTAAGCGGCCCTATGTAGGTTTTCCTATGGTGGTGTGAGCTGCTGGCTACAGCACCGTACCAGGACTCCCTGCATGAAGTAAGTGCTCAAAAATTAAACCAAAATAAATCAAGAAAGAAACAAAATTAGTTGCTTTGAGCTGATTCCACCTCATCATGACCCCATTGGGATTCATGGGGTTTTCAAGACTGTGACCCTTTAGAAGCACATCACCAGGCCTTTTTTCCAAGGTGCTGTGGGTGGGCTCAAAGTACTGTTTTATTTTTTGCTGTGTATTGTAGTTTGGTGGATACTTACAGAGGAAATCAGTTTTCCATTCCACAGTGTGTACTCATTTTCTGCCATTGGCTGCAGTCCCCGTAGTGTCTTATTACTGTTGTTGTGACGTGCCATTGAGTCAGTGCCAACTCATAGCAACCCTGTATGGGGTTTCCAAGGAGCGGCTGGTGAGCTTGAACTGCCGACCTTGTAATTCAAACTGACCTTGAGGTCAAGCGCTTATCCTGGGGCACCATACCAACTTTTTTTTTAATTATGTTTTTTTAATTTTTATTGTGAACTGAGTGAAGGGTTACATTCAACAGATCATCAGTTTTACATTCAACAAATCATACACTTAACTTCATGTCCATGATTACAGTCCTCTCAGTGTAATCACGTATCCCACTTCCTCCCTCTGTTTCTAGTTAGCATTGCTTGTTTCCAGCCCTTGAGTAAATGCTGCCCTTTGGATCTGGAATGATTGACGGTTGGTTCTACACTGTGTTTACCTCACAGCTATTGTTGACCCCCCCCCATAGACCTTTTTTTTTTTTTTAAGTTTTTATTGTGAACTGAGTGACGGTTTCACATGGGAGAACATCAGCTGTACACCAACGTTTTGTTGCAATGATTATAGTCCCCTCCATGCATCATCATTCAATTGTATTTGCTTCCATTCCCTCAGGTTGTTTTTGTGTGTGTGTGTGGTGGTGGTGAGGAGGGGTGTACACAAAAACACTCAGGAATATATAATAATTTAAATAACCGAAGGGCACATTCTGCAAGCCTGCCTCCTGGCCACCAGCTCTCAGTCCCTCTCTTTCCATGAGTTCAGAGTCCTCAGCTGGTCCCTCTCTTCATGTCCCCATGTCTGCCTCCATCTCTGGTGTCGCTGCTTCTCTGGATTGGGCCCCACATTCCACTTGTGCTCTTTTCTCTTGATGGTTCTAGGGTCCTCTGTTTCTGGACTGTAAGATTAAGTATTCCCCTGTTTGTTTTTTTAATGTTTTATTGAGAATTGTGTGATAGTCTACATGGGAGAACATCAGCTTTACATTCATTCCATCATCCATCATTTCATTGGCATAGTTACCCTCCCATCCATGCATCCTCACCCAACCAAGGGGTGTACCCTGTAAGCCTGTCTCCCCCCACCCCCCAACACAGTCCTCAGCCCCTTTCCACCTCCTGATCCCGAGTCCTCAGCCCCACCATCTTTTGACATCGTCTTCCCTGCCTTCATCTCAGGCCTCACCACCTCTCTGGGTAGGATTCCGCTCTTCGCTCTTCTCCATT